TTTTCCTAATAATTTATACATTTACTTTTTCAGATGAACATAGCTATCATTCTATTAAATTACACCCCAAAATAGTTGTTGGTATTTTATTAGAATTACATTTCATATATTTAGGATTTGGACACTTTTTAAAATATTGAGTTTTCCTATCAAGAATATACATGTCGCCCTGACCGGTTTGGCTCAGTTGATAGAGCATCAGCCTGTGGACTGAAGGGTCCCAGGTTTGATTCCGGTCAAGGGCATGTACCTTGGTTGTGGGCACATCCCCAGTAGGAGGTGTGCAGAAGGCAGCTGATCAATGTTTCTCTCTCATTGATGTTTCTAACTCTCTATCCCTCTCCCTTACTCTCTATAAAAAAAAATCAATAAAATACATTTTTTTAAAAAAAAGAATATACATGTTTTCTACTTAATCTTAAGTATTCCACAGGAAAACTTTAAAGTATATTTTTACATAGACCTTGTCTTTTTTTCCAGCTTTACTGAGAAAAAATTACCACATAACAATGTGTAAGTTTAAGGTGTTGCAACACAATGATTTGATGTGTACATATTACAAAATGATTACCATAATAAGAAAGTTAATATATCCATTACTTTACATGATATATTTATTTATTTATTTATTAAATTTTTAAAAAAATATATTTTATTGATTTTTTACAGAGAGGAAGAGGGAGGCATAGAGTCAGAAACATCGATGAGAGAGAAACATCAATCAGCTGCCTCCTGCACACTCCCCACTGGGGATGTGCCCACAACCAAGGCACATGCCCCTGACTGGAATCGAACCTGGGACCCTTGAGTCCGCAGGCCGACGCTCTATCCACTGAGCCAAACCGGTCAGGGCCATGATATATTTTTTTAGTTATAACATTTACTCTTAGTAACTTTCAAGTATATACTACAATATTATTAACTACAAGAGGCCTGAGGAGCGGACCTAAGCCGGCAGTCGGACATCCTTAGTGCTGCCTTAGAGGCAGGAAAGGCTGCCGCCACTGCTGCTGTGCTTGCCAGCTGTGAGCCCAGCTTCTGGCTGAGTGGTGCTCCCCCTGTGGGAGTGCACTGACCACCAGGGGGCAGCTCCTGCATTGAGAGTCTTTCCCCTGGCGGTCAGTGCGTGTCAGAGCAACCAGTTGTTCCGCCATTCGGTTGATTTGCATATTAACCTTTTATTATATAGGATAGTCACCATACTGCATATTAGATCCTCAGAACTCATTCATTTTATAACTGGAAGTTTGTAGCCTTTGACACCAACCACTAGCCTCTGGCAACCACCATTATACTGTTTCTATGAGCTCAGCTTTTTTAGATTGCATATATAAGTGAAATCATACAGTATTTGTCTTTAACTTATTTCACTAGCATAATGCCTTCAAGTTTCACTCATATTGTCACAAATGGCAGGATTTCCTTCCTTTTAATGGCTGAATATATTCCATTGTATATATACCACATTTTCTTTACCTCTTGATCTATTGACAGACACGTAGGTTCTTCCCATATTTTGGCTATGCTAATAATGCTGCAATGCACATGAGGGTACAGATAGTGATTTCATTTCCTTCAGACACCCAAAGTGAGGTCACTGAATCATATAGTAATGTCATTTTTTGTTTGTTTAATATATTTTTATTGATTTCAGAGAGAGGGAGAGATAGAAACATTAATGATGAGAATCATTGATCAGCTGCCTCCTGCATGGCCTCTACTGGGGATTGAGCCCACAACCCAGGCATGTGCCCTGACCAGGAATAGAACCATGACCTCCTGGTTCATAGATTGATGCTCAACCACTGAGCCAAACCAGCCGGGCGTAATTTCATTTTTAATTTTCTGAGGAACTTCCATACTTTTCATAGTGGCTGTACCAATTTACATTCCCACCAACAGTGCACAAGGGTTCCTGTTTTCCATAGCCTCACCAATTCTTACCTCTTTTTTGATAATACCCTTTCTTATAAGTGTGAGGTGACATCTCATCGTGGTTTCAATTTGCATTTCCTTGATAATTAGCGATGTTGAGTACCTTTTCATGTGTTTGTTGGTCATTCCTATGTTTTCTTTGGAAGAATGTCTATTCAGGGCCTCTGCCCATTTTTAAACCAGATTCTTTTTGCTGAGAGATATGAGTTTATCACATTCTTCTTGTTGTTTTTGTGTGTTAATCCTCACCGGAGGATATTTAACATTGATTATTAGAGAGAGTGGAAGGGAGGGAGAGAGAAGAGAAACATCAATGTGAGAGAGACACATTGATTTGTTGCCTTCCGTACATGTCCTGACCAGGCTGGGGATCATACCTGCAACCAAGGTACATACCCTTGACCGGAATCAAACCTGGGACCCTTCAATCTGAGGGCTGATGCTCTATCCACTGAGTCAAACCGACTAGGGCCCTCATGTATTTTCCATATTAAATTTTTGTCAAATACATGATTAACAAATATTTTCTCCCACTCCATAGGTTGCCATTTTACTTATTTTGTTGTGCAGAAGCTTTTTAATTTGGTGTAGTTCCACTTATTGATTTTAGCTTTTGTTGCCAAGACCAATGTCAAGGAGCTTTTACCTTGTGCTTTTTTCTAGTTTTGCAAGTTTCAGGTCTTACATTTGAGTTTTTAATCCATCTCAAGTTAATTTTTGTGAGTAGTGTAAAATAGGCGTCCAATTTCATTATTTTGCATATGAATATCCAGATTTCCCAATACCATTTATTGAAGAGACTAATCTATGCGTTGATTTAATTGGCATTGTAAATTAAATCTTTACTTTTATTTTCTATGCAACAAAGCTATTGATGTTTGCATAGTAAAGTTATAATTAGCCCTTTTACTGAATATTAAATAATTTTATCTTTACTTTCCAGATACATATCACTGACAATCACTACAATTTTCCCTCTTCCTATCTCATTTTTACAGCTCATTTCTTTTTCTTGTCTAACTGCATTGGCTAGTACTTCCCAGACAGGATTGAAAACAACAAAGGTGATGGACTGAATCTTATGGCACTGCTTCCAGTGTTTAGTCATTAAGGATGATATAATGTTGAGCTTCACATGACTGTTTTGTTCTCATTTCTCAGGCCTCAGATAAGGTCGTATCCTCAGGGAAGCTTTTTCTAACTGCATGATCTAAAATCCCTCACCCTTATAGATTTGTAGATCTCTAATTAGTATGCTTTTATTTTCTTATAGCAATTATTTCTATATTTAATGTATATTGTGTATATGAAGTCTGAATTTGTTTGTGCATTTACTTTTTAAAATTGTTTTTGCATTTATTTAAATGTCAGCATTGCCGAAAACGGTTTTTCTCAGGCCTCAGATAAGGTCGTATCCTCAGGGAAGCTTTTTCTAACTACATGATCTAAAGTCCCTCACCCTTATAGATTTGTAGATCTCTAATTAGTATGCTTTTATTTTCTTATAGCAATTATTTCTATATTTAATGTATATTGTGTATATGAAGTCTGAATTTTTTTGTGCATTTACTTTTTAAAATTGTTTTTGCCTTCATTTAAATGTCAGCATCACAAAAGCAAGAACCTGATCTGCCCAGTGCATAGCACCTTTCTGACCAGTAAACATTGGACCGTCTAACTAAAAAAAGAAAAGAATGCACTTATGCTTCCTCCCATCTTTTCACCACCTCCCATTTTATTACTTAAACATTTCCACATTTCACTATGCTATTGTACCACATTTTCCATCATTCTGCAGTTGCATGTGTAAAATGCTTTCCAAACACCAGCAGTGCTTTTACTACCATTCTTTAACTTTTGTTTAGATTTTTTTTGTCATTTTCTTTGAGATCTAGTGAGTGCAGTAAGTCTCTGACCCTTTCATGTTTTGGAGTCTCTGCTGTCTCTTATGTTTGAACAAGTTAGTAAGTATATTTGAGTCATAGTATATTTTCTTAGATATTTCTTAGCACTTAGACACTCCTCCCCTATCTTTTGTTAGGAAATAGTGCTCACACTGGCATGCTTTTTCTCTTGCCTTGCTCTGCTAGTGAGGGCAGGTTGTGCTGGTTATTTGCTTGTTTGCTCTCAAGTTCACTTTCCCCCCTTTCTCAGCATTTCAGAGAATGGCACAAACTTTCTTACTCTTTGGCTTCTGAGTTTGTTCTGCCAATATAGGCAGAACCAGGCCTACGGAGGCCTGGGTTTCTTTGCTTCAAAAAGCATCTTAAGTCAGTGAGTGGGTGGCTTTGTCTTTTACTTGGATCCATTTGTCCATGCTCCCAGCTCTCTCCTTTGTCCTTTCTTCCAGTCAGGCCTGCCTTAGTTTTAGCCTCTACCAGTTTTAAATTCCCTCCTTTTGCAATAGCCAGGGAGACTTCTATTTTCTGACTGGACCCTGACAAACTCAGGGGTGAATAGATGTGCTAAACTACAACAAAATTTTCTATCTTCCTTTTTTTCTCCAGCCACCACCTTTCAAATAATATAGAACAGGTTTGTGTTTCTTTCATATTTTTGATATTTGTGAAGGAATATTTTGGCTTTTTAAATACTTGTTAAGCATGGAGAATATCAGCTATGTTAACCTGCACCCATATCAGTATTTTGCATAGCATTTTTGGAACTCTTGCGCTTGTGAAACAAGTATAGTGAGATATAGCCTGAGATTGCATTGGCATTTTAAGAATTGGAGCTCTTAAGTCATGATTTTAAAAATTATTTTGCCCGACTGGCATGGCTCAGTGGTTGAGCATCAACCTATGAACTTGGAGGTCATGGTTCAATTCCTGGTCAGGATATATGCCTAGGTTGTGGGCTTGATCCCCAGTGTGGGGTGTGCAGGAGTCAGCCAATCAATGATTCTCTCATCATTGATGTTTCTCTGTCTCCCTTCCTCCTTGAAATAAAAATTCATATATATATATATATATATATATATATATATATATATATATATATATATATATATTTAAAGTATTTTGGAAAATGTTAATCTTAAATACAAAATTGAGTCATCTTACAGAGCAAATATTTAAATATTTTGGGTACAAACTTTGTGCTAATTTCTCTAGTTTATAGGGATATATAATACACACGAGACAAAAATTATTGTCCTTGCTGGATCCTGCCTTTCTCATCTAAGGTAATAACCCTGAAACTACGTAAACAGAATAAGAAAATTATTGTGGGTTTCCAAGATGACCAAGAAAAGAAGGAATAACGGTCGTGCCAAAAAAGGCCAAGGCCACGTGCAACCTATTTGTTGCACCAACTGCGCCCAGTGCATGCCCAAGGACAAGGGTATTAAGTTTGTCATTCAAAAGATAGTAGAGGCCACAGCCATTAGGGACATCTCCAAAGCAAGTATCTTCGACGCCTATGTGCTCCCCAAGCTGAATGTGAAACTACATTACTGTGTGAGCTGTGCCATTCACAGCAAAGTAGACAGGAATCATTCTTGTGAAGCTCGGAAGGACCGAACACCCCCATCCTGATTTACACCTGCGGGTGCTGCCCCACAACCTCCACCAAAGCCCATTTAAGGAGCTAAGTCTTTAAGGAGTGAAGAAAAGTTCTCTGGGGGGAAAAAATAAATGAAAATTGTACTTCAAAAAAAAAAAAAGAAAAAGAAAAAAATTGTGATCCTAACATACCCCATAGATTGATCTAATTGGGCAATTAACAGGCACCTTAAAACTTTTATAATAAGAATGAGTTTTTGCCTGCCAATCTTTCTTCACAAAGGCAGAAAATTTGCCATCTCAGCCATTTTCCATATGATGGGTACGTGCAGTACAAATGTTCTATTAGTGACACATCTTAGAACATGATTCAAGAGTGTTTCCTTCCTATACTCTGTCCTAAAAATTAGTCAGAAAGGCCTGGTTGGATATCAAGGCATCATGTGAACCAAAGATAAGGTATTATCAAAGCGTCCTACTTTGTGAAACCAGGGCATAGTCCCCAACCCACACAACTCATCCAATTCTGTCCTTCAGAAGCAGGGCCAGGTCCTGCTGGTCCGTCTCCCCAAGCTTATTAATCAGAAGTAGCATCTTCTTGTTGGTTTACTTACTCCTAAAATGTGTTTACAGGAAGCTCTAATTATTACTGGTTCAGTTAATTAATCTTGCTTAAAGAGACCACATAATGCTAACAATTAAAACAGATTTGCAGTTAGGTTTTGGTAACCAATAGTAAAATGCAACAACTTCTTAAAAGGAAATAAAAGCTGGTTGCTGTTCCTATCTAAGAGGACGAAATCAAAAGTTGAAAAATTTTCAGTAATCTTTGTAAATTTTCTTAAATTCTGTATGTAGTTATTTAGTATTCATAATTCATTCAAGTATTTATGGAATGCTATGCATCACACTGTTCTTTGACAAAAACTACAGTGAAGGAATAGTGATGGTGTCCTTTTAGATGGGAGATCAGGAAAATGCTTCTTTGAGGTGACATTTGTGAAGAGACTGAACTATCCAAGTCTCGAAGAAAAGAACTTCCCAGCCAGACAGGGAGAAAACACAAAAACCCTCAGGTGGGGGTACAACGCAAGTGAGAAACTAGTAGATGAGACTGTGGTGATATAATTTAGGGGATTAAACATGTAAACCACAGTAGGAGCTTTGCATTTTGTTTTGAGCATTAAATTACTGGATTGTGAAAAGAATGTGATTTATATTTCACTCTGGTGGCTGTATGGAGAATAGATATGTGTGTGTGGTTGTGGTGCTGAGTTAAGAGTAGAAGCGAAAAGAAAGGTAAGGAGATTGTGGTAGTGGTCTGGCTCAAAGATGATTGTAGGTTGGATTGGAGTGGTAAACATGAAAGTAGTGAGAAGCTACAGATCCAAATACATTTTTAAGGCAGAGCTTATGGATCTTGATGGTTTAAATATAGGATGAGGGTGTTAGAGGGAAAAGAATAAAGGGTAACTCCTTCATTTGTCTTGAGCCAATTAATGAAAATGGGAATCCTAGAGAATAAAGTCTGAAGCACACAAATCAAGAGCTCTTTTTCTAGAGAATTCGCAATGTTAAATCAAGTATCTAAACCGACTGCTGTTGAGAGCTCTGAGATCAAGACTAGATAACTTGAATGAAGTTGATCTTAAAGTAGGGTTCTTAAAGTCAAGAGCCTGGATGAGACTGCCTAGGCAGACTGCATTTAGGGCACTCCCAAAGTTCAGAAATCAAGAGGACAAATGTGTAGAGCAAATTAGAACAGGATCTAAAGAATCCCAACTTTTAAGCCAAAATTTTTATTAAAATACTGCAATTAAGAAATTATATTGCAACTGATACATGACAATTACTATTAAAAGTCTAGCAGTGATCTGGTATTTTTTTTAAATGCAAATTATGCATTCTAAGACTTTCAAAACAGACTATTCTGAAATAACCGCACAATATAGTCAAAACATATTTATTACTTTTTAGTGTAATTTTGTACACTTCAGTACAAATACAAGATAGAGCCGTATTTACAGGTATTGAAATCCGTATATTCAAACCCCGTATCTAAATACAGTAGTGTTAAGTCCTGATTTAAGTCCAAATCAGAACTATAATAGTTCTGATTTGCAGAGTGACTTACTTCATGCCCTGCCCCCTTCCCCCGGGAAATAATCCCTTAAAGCTAAGGCTGTTTAAACAGAACAATAGATTATTTTTGAAATGGGGTAACAATTCATTCTTTGCAAAGTTTTAAGCACCTCCTTTCCAATATATTACAAGTGTGAAATAGATATATAAAATTAGAAGATAAAATCATTCATTTGGGCTATTAAAAGCATGATGTCTTTAAAAAAGGGCTGAAGCATGGGAATTTTCAGGGTGTTAAAAATCTGGAAATATAGTCCAAGTTTTAAAATGAAAAGTTGAACTACATAGAAAAAAATAGTAGGGAAGCTGGTACTACAGGGTAAAGACTTTCTAACAGACCCACCTTCACAAAATAGATTTTATTACAACATAGTTTGAATATGTCCCTTTTAAAACAAAAATTAAAACCCTGAGGTTTCCTAGGGGCTATTCATATTTCCATTCTCAAATTATTTGAATCAAGGAGCCCACCAAAATGTGTATTTTCTGATATTATGTCTATTTTTAGAAACAGTCCCTGGTTACCTCAAGAAGGTTAGTAGCTGGACACCATGTCTGTATTAAAGTGCAATATTTAAAATAATTTTTTATAGAATAAGTGATTCAAATATTGTAAAAATAGACTACAAAAATTTTAATTTTCTGTGTTTAAAAATTCACCAGGAAATTTCAAACTAGGCATCCTTTATATGAGTTACCATCTGATCAGGAAACCTTTGCCTACAAAATAGCAAATTGCTTACTTCTTTCCTGGAAATATACAGGACTACATTAGTAAGGGTTCTAGCTTAACAGTTCTCTTCCGAGTTTCATTTACATGTACTAATCAAGTCCAGCAAATGTTAACAATCTCATAGGTATAAACATTTCATGATGATAAAACTTATGACATTTGGTTCTTCTTACATTTTATGCTCAAGTTACAATAAAAAAAAAAAAATCAGTCTCCAGTATAAGATTCTAATTCCTCTTAATAATACTGGAACATTTTTGTATTTTAGAAAATATCATCCATACTATCTCTTACAGTTTATTTTTTAAATATTATTGAAAAGGCTGAGCATTATCTTCTATACCTTAAATTATGCTTAAAGCAACAAGAGCAATTTCAAAATTTTAGTATCCCAGAATGTAATTACATTAATGTCTCACATCACAAAATAAGCCCTTGGTGCTGGCAGTTCTCTGAAAGCACATGAATACATCTGCCTCGACAGGAAAAAAAGGCTCTAAAATTGGATAAGATTTTGAAATCAAGATTTTTTCTGCATAAAGAAACCCTTGTGACTTGATATAATACTGGCAGTGTCATGCTAAGGCCAGCTGACCAATATTTTAGCAGAGAAAAAAAAAGCCAAGGTAATTTTATAGTAGCAATAGTTTCTTTTTTTATTTTAATATACTTTAGGAAAACAATATACAAAGCTGAGCTTCTCCACCATTTCCAGCTAACAGTAGGAAGCTCCAATTACACAAATTTAGCGTTTTGTGATGGCTAAGAACAGCAGTCAGCACCAGACTTGAACAGTTAGCTACAACACAAACATCCTTCAAAATGAAATGTCATAATAGCAAGACAGGTAAACCAGGATTTAACAAATGACAACCACTTGGGAAGTGACTTAATCATTCTTGTTGAATTTCATAGTTCATTAAATATCTTATACACATTTCCTGTTAATCTGCTTTAAACGAAACCTCCTTTAAGGACTTATTTCAATTAAGTATAAATATTCAACAAGAATAGTTCTGATAAAGAATCCCCAGGTAGTTCAAATTCTAATATGCATTTGACAAAAGGAAAAGAAAAATAACATTTTATTTGTTTTAACATGTTTATTACAACAGATACAATTCACATCTGACTAGCTTTGTTTCCTCTTTCCCCTCCCACAACCATGTTCATTGGGCCATTTCCTTACATTTGAGCAATCAATGTACTTTCAGCACACACTCACGTCCAGCAGTACTTTTAGGTCCATTCCATTCTTACAGGGTGCAAATGGATTTCAATAATTTATACAAACAAGTGGGTTATGCTCAATCACTGCAATTTTAAGCTACTGTACACAGGAATGAAAAGATTATAGAAAAGTGCCATAGCAACAGTGCCGTAAGAAAGGAGAAAAAAGAGGAGCCTTAAAAAATGGATAAAATCAAATCAAGTATTTCAGAGGGAAATGGAACACATTGGAAATGAAAAAAACATTTCTCTGCAAAACAAACGGAGAAGCACTGCTCTTGATCAGGTGCAAGTGTGGAAATAGTTGTTTCATGATACTTTGTACACTGCCTATATGGTTCAAAATTGTATCTCCTTAGACACAGATCACCTGGCGCTTGCACTGAATTTCTGAAAATGCAAGATTTCTGAATGATAAATTAAACCCCCCCATTTTTTTTTTCTTAAAAAAGCTAATTTTGCAGACAGGTTTACATGTAAAAGGCTAGGTATTTAGCCACCTCAGCATTAATTAGTTTTGGATGTCTAAGCTCTGTTACACATGGCTTCCCATGGCTTCACTCTACAAAACATATTTACAACGTGAAGAATACATCTACATTAAATCTACATTTCAAGGGTTTTACATCAGTCTTGTCTCTTTCCCCTGAATCAACTCTCACAGACCCCAGTCCCCTTGTCATTTCCTTTGCCCAGCTTAACGGTCCAAAGTCTACTTAAATGCAGATCAAAAATGTTAAGATTGGGCAACAGATTTATAGTTCCTGTACTCAAAACCATGTGCAATTATTCACATCTTCAGACCATGAAGGAATTCTGATTTTTTAGCTTTTCAAGTTCCTTAATTTGTTGTCTCAAAAATAGTATCCTGAAAAAAATAAGAAGGCATTAGAACTGTGTGGTCGTCATATAAATGTTACAGAAAAACCAAACTTCTAACAACAAAATTATCTTTTAAAAAACGAGTAACTACTAGTTAAGACAAAATAATTAAAAACTGGTAAGT